TTCCCTGCTTTCCTCTTCCCTCCATTTTGCATCTGCATCTGGATTTGATTTGCAAGATCAAATAATTTTGTATTTCAGTTACAGAAAGTGTTTCAGATAGACTTTCTTTTGGTTAGAGCATGTATTTCTGTTTAATATCTTTATCAATGATCTAGATGAGGGGATCAAGTGCACCCTCAGTAGGTTTGCAGATGACACCAAGTTGGGTGGGGGTATTGATCTGCTTGAGGGTAGGAAGGGTCTACAGAAGGATCTGGACAGGCTGCATCAATGGGCTGAGGCCAACTGTATGAGGTTCAACAAGGCCAAGTGCCAGGTCCTGCACTTGGGTCACAACAACCCCATGCAACGCTACAGGAGAGTGGCTGGAAAGTGCCTGGCTGAAAGGACCTGGGGGTGTTGCTTGACAGCCAGCTGAACATGAGCCAGCAGTGTGCCCAGGTGGCCAAGAAGGCCAACAGCATCCTGGCTTGTATCAGGAATAGTGTGGCCAGCAGGAGCAGGGAGGTGATTGTCCCCCTGTACTCGGTGCTGGTGAGGCTGCACCTGGAATACTGTGTCCAGTTTTGGGCCCCTCAATACAAGAAAGACATTGAGGTGCTGGAGCGTGTCCAGAGGAGGGCAATGAAGCTGGTCCAATGTACAACAAAGGGTCTGGAGCACAAGTCTTATGAGGAGCGGCTGATGGAACTGGGGTTGTTTAGCCTGGAGAAGAGGAGGCTGAGGGGAGACCTTATCTCTATAACTATCTGAAAGGAGGTTGTAGTGAGGTGGGTATTGGTCTCTTCTCCCCAGTAACAAGTGATAGGATGAGAGGAAATGGCCTCAAGTTGCCCCAGGGGAGGATATTAGGAAAAATTCCTTCATGGAAAGAGTAGTCAAGCATTGGAACAGGCTGCCCAGAGAGGTGGTTGAGTCCTCATCCCTGGAGGTATTTAAAAGATGTGTAGATGTGGTGCTTAGGGACATGGTTTAGTGGTGGACTTGGTAGTGCTGGGTTAATGGTTGGACTTGATGATCTTAAAGGTCTTTTCCAACCTAAATGATTCTATGATTCTCAGATTTCATTGCCCAGCCCTCCCTGTGTGTTGGGTAATCTTATTAGAGAGGCTGGAGAGAGACGAGGTTCATTACAGCTACAATTTAAAGCTTGAGTAAGTTTGAATTCTACTGAATGCAGAGCTGCAAGCATTATCCCTTGTCCTCCAGCTCTGTGATCGCTTTGCATGCTGAAGAAAATCAAAAAGCAAAAAGCAAGTGAGAGGGTTTAGAGCTATAATCCAAACTGCCAGGAGACAAGACATTTCAGCCAACCACCATATAAATTGCAGTGTTCCATTTTGGATCCATCAGGATCAGAACAGGACCCCAGTAGTGATATCTGTCTGGAAATACTGAGCAAGTCCTGATATTGTTGTCCAGTAAGTGTGGAAGCAGAGCTCTAAACAGGGTGAAAAATAGCTAGATGGGGAAGAGGATGGTTAGCTTGGGCACACAAACTGCGTCGCACAGATGCACCTAACATGAGCAGTAGTCACAGCTGTAGGTAACTTTGAGAAATTGTTCCTATCCTGAAAAAAAAACAAGCACAGTCTGATACCGTAGTAGAAAGAGACAGGAAACCACTTTTTTTTTTTTTCCCCCCGCAGACATTGAGGAAATATAAGAGGGAAGTCATAGGATAAATATGTTTCTGAAACATTCAGAAGTTGTCTACCTGGGGAGACAGCTGCTTCCAGTTCACTGATTTACAATGCCATACAGGTCTGTGCATGGCATGTGCGTTTTGAAAGGCAAAGGAAGGATGAGTGGCTAGTACAGATGGTATATTCAAAATGTGATCATTTTTCTAAACCAGCTATGGGTCTTAGTCAGAAAGAAGTTCTGGCAGTGCCATTAAAAACACATCTCTTCTTCTCTAGTGCTGTTTTGAATGTTATGGTCATGATGATTTTAATCACCTCTTACCTGTTAGATCTTTGCAATGAACAAACTTGCTGTCTAATGTAGTCCAGCTGACCTTGTCCAACTTGCATCAGGTCTTCAGTATCTGGATTGATTGCAACTGTTCTTTAGCAAAGCAAAAGGCTGAGGAGACAGTGTTTGTGACACTGCTGTCCTGGGACCCGGGGAACAATATAGGTGAGGAACCAAATGGGGAAATAGACTGAATATCCTTGACTTGATGGAAATGCTGGAGTTGCACTTCCTGAAACTAGTTGTAGACATGGTTGTGAATTCAGAGACATGGTCACTGGGTTAGTTCACAAGAGTAAAAATTTCACATTTTCTGATTGCCTTCAGTACCAGCCTTTCATCTGTGCTCTGTGATTCCATGAAGCACACAAGATAGTAATTTGAATATAAAAATATTTTAAGCAAGTGTGCATTAATGGCTTCAAGAGCTCCTCAATGGAGCTGGTGTGAAAGACAGGTTTATGGGGTGAGCAGCTGCTAACAGCTGGAAAATGGGATGTGTGAGATGCATCTCCTTCTGGTCAAGTGGTCAATCACAACCCCTGCATAATATGTGCATGGGATGCGCCTTGAGAGCCCAGGCATCTTCTGCCTTCCTGGCACATCACTGGAAGTGGGGACTTAGCCAAGACTGTGGCTTGAGAGAAGGAGATAAGGAAAATCTTGTATCCCAGTTGAAACGCTTTCTGTCAAGTGATTGTCTCACATGCTGTTTCTTATATCCAAGGCAAAGTAAAAGCCCCAAAGCCTCAATTTGTGGATCCAAGACCGTGCTGGCCAGGAGGGAACATCCAGTTACCCTGCAGGTCCATGGAGTTCCCTGCTTTTTTTAATTATTATTTTTTGTTATTATTATTACTATTATTATTACTATACTTCATCAGATCCCAGTTTTGCATGGGCTTTGGCATACTCTGCCAGTACCTCTATTTAAACAAATGCATGTGTGTATGAGAACGCAGGACAGAGAGAGAAGCGACAGTGAGAACTTGTTGATGGCTGAGATTCATGGGAGCCCCAGAGTCAGCGAGAACCACTGTGCTCAGCGCTGTACAAACAGACCTGATGCCACTGTTTGCTCCCGAGGAGTTCAGAGCCTGGCTGTATGGTCTTGTCTCCACAGCCCTCAACACAGCGAGATGGAAGAAACTACAGAGCGAGAAGGAGGAGCTGGAGAGGCACTTCGAGGAGGAGGTGAAGCAGCTTCAAAGGCAGCAGCAGGAGGAGCTGCAGGAGCTGGATGCAGGGGCGGGAGCAGCGGCTGCAGGAGGAGTACAACACCAAGAGGGACAGCCTACAGGAGCAGAACAGGTTGCAGCTGGAGCAAGTCAAATTGCAGCATCAGGATCAGGTCAGTCTCTGTCTGTTCCCTTTGAAGAGTAGACCCTGCCAGTACTGAGTGGGGCCAGATAATGAAATATATTGAACACTCCAACATGAAGACACTGGTAGGGAACTGCTGAGTGGAAAAATATATTCCTGACTATCTTTATTGCTTTTCCTCCCTATTATTTGTATTGGTATTTCTACATAGTAGTACGTTACATTGCCGTGTCTTGTCTTCACATGCTTCCAGATGTTTTACAACACAAATATTAAGACTAGCTCTGCTCCCCCCGCATACTTGCTCCCCCACCCACCTATTGTAGTCAATTTATATGAAACCAAGAGTTGAACAAGACTCTGCTCAACACAGGTAAGGCCAGCAGAGCCCTGCCCATCGTTGTTTGCAATATTTAAAGGGTGGTACAGTGAAGCGATAGGCCTCATGCAGCACATAGCCTAAACGTCAAGCAGGTGATACACTCTGGGTTCCCTGATTTCTGCTCCACCATTCAGTCTAATCTCTTAGATTGTACAACCTAAGTGTTTCTTCTTGCTTTGCTTTCTGTATGTAGGTAGGAATACTCTCACGTGCAGCTACTTTAGTCTTATTTTTAACAGCTGTAGTGAACAAACACTGTAACTCACCTATGGGCACCTCTCACATGGTGGCAGAACATCCTGCTCTGGATTATGGCAATAATGCCTTTACCTTGCCTTTTCTCATTTCGCGCTCAGTGAGCAGCGGATAGAGTTCTGATTTTTCCAGCTGCATCTCTTACCCATTGCCTGGCACCACAGTTCGCGAGGGCTTTTCTCACACAAGACTCTGCTGCATTCAGGTGCCGTCAGGTTTTGACATGCTGCAGCCCCTGCTGCCACCGGTATGGCACCTAGGCGTCTGATGCGGCGCAAGGGCCAGTCATCTGCAAAACGTGAGCCCAGCCAACAGATCCCGTTTGCCAGCATCGTTTTCTCCAGCCTGTGGATTTTGCCAATGCCCAGGGCAGCTGGAGGTGGTGGAGGATGAATTTTTCACTCTCTGAGGCAATGTAAATTGGCAGCAACAGTGCAGTGCAGATGTGGTCTGTGAGATGGGTGGATGTGACCAAAGGTCAAGGAGAAGGTTTTATGTCTGAATGCTTTATATCTCAGAGTATCCCCGGTGTGAATTTTGGGGCTGCTGCCTGAAGCAGCAGCCTGTGGCTGAGCCTCCAGAGCTGCTGCTCCTCCCTGCTCGTGCCCGCGGAGTGGGCTGACAGCAGGCACTGCAGTAGGGTGCAGAGCACAGACGTGCCCCATGCGGTTCCCAAGGGTGATGACAGCACTTGCTGTGGGCTCAGAAGCAAACCAACCCCATCAGCAGAGCCTATGCCCAAGCTAATTTAGACCATTTAAGCAGTAAAGGCTGGTGCAGCAGTGTGGCCATAGCTGAAGCACCTCCAGGAGCCAGGGAAAGGGGCTGGCCTGCACTGAGCTCATGGGAGAGGAGAACACCAACACAGCGCAGCAGAGATGGCAGCCCACTGTCTTTAGGGTAAACTATTTGTAAAAAGAGAAATGACACCATTTACTGCCTGTACCTGATATACTGTAAAACACTCCTGGGATGGGAGTGCAAATACAAATCGAGATGGTGACAGTTTTATGTCACTCATGTCACAACTGCCTGGTGTTAGGTTTATTGTGCAACACCAGTGGTATGGCAGGGCTGGGTGCACCATGGTCCTCAGTGGCACATGGGTCAGACAGCCGTGTCGGACAGACACACAGCAACCCAGCCTGTGCCCCAGAGTGTCTGCTGCCCTGGGTACTGTCGTGCAATTTGGTTTCATTCTTCGGGGGGGGCAGGGGTTGAAGAACTCTTGCTGGATTTTACCTGGTTTAATTGCTGTGCCTGCTAGTTGTTACTGATTTGCAGGCTTCTAATGTGCAACACAAAGGCTTTATGCAACTGGGCTGTTTTGTTCCAGATGAACTACCTTTTTCTGTTAGTGCATTGATTTTCAAAGATGCATTAGAAGGTGCTGTCAAATAGGTTTTTGTGTTCTAAACCAGAATTTTCAAAATATTTCTCTGAAAATGCTTAGAAGTTGTGCTGAGCCATGTCTTTTGGTTCTCATTTCAGTTTATGCAGGATGGTTTTCTTGCAATGCCCCTCAAATTTTCTGCTTTGCTTTCAGATATGAAGGAGGAGTGGCATTCCCAAAAGCCTTGGCTTTTTTTTCTTTTCACTGTCAGTGTGTCAGTTTACCTTGTAGAAGATATTAGCTCTAGCTCCAGGCCTTGCCTCTCCTGGATCCCCAGGCATTAACATTTGTGAAGGAATTTGTTCCATGAGTTAATTTTTTGCTGAGATAGTTTATGGCTTATCTCTGCTACTCTTTGAAGTGTTTCTGCAAACTCCCAGGACCACAAGAACAGGGGGTGGTTTTTTTCCCCTCAAGTGCAAGAAAGGGTGATACAGGTCACCATAGGACTTGACTAGAAGTATACTTATTTTTCTCATGTTCTCATCTATTGTGATTCTATTCATCACCACACAGAAGCAATGGAAACACATCTTTCCCTCTGCGGGGTAAATAGTTCTCTCTCCTCCAGCCCTTTGGTTTGCTCCAGAGCTCTTTGTTCCCTGAATTACTGAGGATAACCCAAACGTTTATCTTCACTGCTTTGAAAGTACTGCTGTGACCCTAGTATCTCAGAGTTTAAGCCCATCTTTTCAATCCATGGTTCCGTTAGCATCTCATGATGAATTTTAGCAGGTTTTGCTTTTCAATTCCTACTCCGCCATACACCCATCCTGTGTCGAGTGCTTTTGGATCAGAGGAGGCTGACAGGCCAGGTTGGAAAGCTGCTCACCAGCAATGTTTCTTGGCCAAGGAAAAGGAGAACTTTGTTAGTCTGGGAACCAAGGTGCATGAGTAGTAAGGATCCCTAACAACTGCTGACCCAAAGGGTTTGTAATCCTCTGGTTCTTCCTTCCCCTGCTTAGAGGAAGAAGAAAAGTGCCCAGCTCAGAACATGCAAAACAAGCAAGCCTGCTCAAGGGACTATAGTCATTCAGCTCTGATGCTGCTGAGCTGGCGCTGGTCCCAGCCAGCCTTAGAGCAGAGTCACCTAACCCATTAGCTAAAGACCTCTTATGCTGGACACGAGAAAAGCCTTGTCCTTGAGCTGTCCATCTGTGGGGGGGAATTTGAGCTTGCATTCATGAAGGCAATAACAATAGCGAAATCCTTTTAACCATGGATCTGCATGTATCCACACATCTGATTTGGAAGTTAATCATCCCACTTTCATGGTTTCCAGTCATAGCTTAGTCTCCCACACTGTATTGCTGTAGTCACTGTTTAGTTTAGTATCAGAGAGCTGTTGTTTCTTTGGATACACAGGTTGTTAGGTTTTGGAGGCTCACCTGTCTCTGAGGAGGTGAGTCAGCTCTTTCAGCATAGCAGAGCATGAGAGCCAAACTCCTCACAAACCAGTCATGTGTGCCAATGCATTCCAATATTTCTCATATCTCCTTACAGCTAAGGGCAAAATTGCAACGTAAAGGCTGCAACCCTGGCTTGCCAGTGTTTCTTGCTTGAGCTGCTCAGATCAAGCTGTTTTGTCCACCAACTTTTTTAACTTCTCCCACTAGAGCCTCTTCTTGATTTTACTTTATTAAGCCTTAAAAATCCCACCTGAGCTTCTTTTTATAGCCAGAAATAACCATGACACTTGTTAAGTGAGTCGATCAAGCCTAGAGAGTAAGTTGGTGGCAAAGTTGGAATTAGCATCCAAGAGATCTGCTTCCCAGTGCCAGGTAGACTATCTGCTACGAAAAATTGCATACAGTCAGGTGGGAAGATTAAAAAAAGTCATTTGGGATGTGGATATGAAACACAGAGAAGACAGAAAAATCCCTGCAGACCATTTGGAACATATTTAATTGGCTTTATAGATAAATAACCTGCCAAGCAGTGAAAGCAGACCCCTTCACCTTCTGAAGATGTTGGAGTTGAGCATAATCATTCCTATGGGATGCTGCTCAGCTGAGAAGCAATTAGAGTATGAATAAAGACTTAAGCAAGGGTGAGGTAAAGAACATGGCAATGCTGATGAGATTTCAGTGCACAGACATCGTATACAAGGACATTGCACTCTGGGAAAAGTCAAGTGGTAGTCCCTGTCCCATTAGTAGCCCACTGAGTCATTTAGCCCCCCTTTCCCTGCTCTTTCATGCAATATATCAGCAGGCTGAGTCCCCACTGTTTTGCAAGCAGTTCTTCACCACTGTGTTGTCTCCCACGTTATTGTGAAAATGAGTTTGGATAATTTTGAATTCCATGTTAAATGCCTATCTTTCATTCTAAGAGCATGCTTTCTCCAATACAGTCAGAAATTTTGCTTCTGTTGGATAATCTAACACATATGTTTGATGCTTAAATGCAGTGAAATAACATTTATTCCAGTCAAGACATGCTCAGCTGCAGTAACTTTCTACCATTATTTAACATAACAGTAGCAAAAAAGCTGTTTAAAGTCAAATCATTTTGCAATGAACAGCTGTTTCATTGTAAAAGTAAAATAGTTTGATCCTCTGCATTGCCAGATATCACAGATAATGTGTTAAATGCAGGGAATAAGATCACTGTGATTATAAAACCTAGAAAGGCAAATGGATGCATTGCATTCAGAAACTGCTCTGGACCACTGACTTAACCTTGATCACCACTTCTCACTGTATTTTCTTTAATGATGCGTATCAAAACACCATCATTAGGGGTCTCGCTTCGCCTTTAGCCAAGTCTAGTAACAAACAATGTACTGAAGGAGTTGCAAACCCATCGGGTGCAGAGGAACACGGGCCGCCCACAGCCCTCTTCCAGCTGCATCCCCAGCTCCTGTGATGGCTGTGTGCAGTGCGGTTTGTTGGGCACTTTGCAGCAGCAGGACCTCTTTGTGGCCTCAACATGAGATCAGAAAAAATTTTTGTGGCTTCACTGTCATCTTGCTGACTTCCACACCAACCTGGAAACTCTTGTGTCTGCACTGGAAAAGGTGCTGTCGTGTCTTCCATCAGTTTATTGGATGTGGACTCAAAATACATGATTCAAGAGGACATAGGAATTTGGGTATTGATGACTTTGTAGGATACTCTTTTTCAAGTAAAAGTGTTATAGATTGCAGTTCATTTTACATATCCACTGATAATAATTTCTATGTTTCTCTAGAAATAAATATTTTACAGCTATGAATAATTCATACGCACTTTCCATGGAAGTTAATTCAAGACCTTACAATAAAAATCATGGCAGCAAAGTGCTGTGAAGACAAAAACCAGGATGGCTCAGAACTGTGCATGTTTATCTGACCATCAGAGGGAGTTGGGTCATTAATATAATTGAGATTAATGGAATGTTGAGATTTCTGAACATGTCATAAATGGGTTCTTCGCTTAAGGGCTTTTTGGCCTTTTGCTTTCTTATGTACCTCTATTATGACCATCAAGTTAAAAGAACAAAAATACTATCAGCAGTGACTACATGCTACCACTCAAGGTGTTCACATGCCTGTTTCATAATGAATAAAACTGGCTCAGGTGCTGGAAGTGTCATGCTCAGTAGATCCCTTTACTGTTCCCAGCTCACTGGAGCTCTCCAGCAGCTTGTTAGTGTGCCACAGCATGTCTAATCATGCGCCCATGTCTCCATTCATTGTCTTTGGAACAGGTGGAAGATATCACAGCTGTACACGAAGCTGCAATGTTACAGCTGGAAAATAACCACATAGTTGCCATTACAGTACTGCAGGATGAGAACGACTGCAAGATTCAAGGTAAGCCAAAGACAACCCAATGGCTACAGAGCTATTCCAGAGCAGGAATTAGTGCTGTAGTGAGATTGTGTAAGCCTGCATTTTCTTCCTCCAGAGCAGATGATACAGAAAATCTGTGTTGGTCTAGTGCTTTCATGTGGGGTGGACCACCAGGTTCATGCTAGGGGTGAGGGAGAGCTGTGTGCAGTGTGTGCAGCATCTAACTTGGACCTGAGACTATCTGAGGGGTCTTTGGGCCAGAGATAAGGCTTTCTTCATGGGTCGCTGAACACAGAGTCCAAATTCCACCTCACTTCACACACAGACTTTTCTCAAGAGCCTAATCCTCGGGTGCTCAGGAGGTTAGAGGTCATTGAACAGCTCTGAATTTAGGTGCTTAAATGCCTACACTGCTTCTAAAAACACGACTCATCATTTTCAGCAGCAAAAGTCTGGCCATGCTGAGCAGACCAAAGCCATACGCTGGTGCAAATCTGCACCTCAGCACTGTTATCTTTGTTTTGTGTTAAGTTTTTTCCACAGGATTCGATGCTGCAGACAGAGCTGTTTCCTCCCTTCCGGTTCAGTATCTAAATATGTGTCTTTGTACATGCTTTAGCTGACATTCAACAGTTATCTGTACAATCTCCCTCTTTTTTTTTTTTTTGCACATAAACATAAGGGTCTAATTTTTAAATAGCTCTAGTAGGTTTTTCCACAACTTTCTCCAAACCGAGCCACATTGCTTAGCTCTGCACTGTATCAATTAAAGACACAGTCCAGAGTATAGCGTGAGCTGACAACAGTCTATTCCCCTCTTCTGTAGGCAGAGATGCTATCTAGCATACCATTTTTAAATTAACATATACAATTTTAAAAATTTTTTAAAAAAGAAAAAGCTATTCCTTGCTTGAGGATATTCTTCTCTGATCATTTTTGCTGGTATTTTCTGATCGTAAAACTTGGCTGCGGTTTATCAAGGCTCCGGTGGTCCCTGCTGCTGGTGCGGGTATGAAATGCCCTCCTGTGCATGGAAAAGGCATTGCAGCAGCTGCGGTCTAGGGTGCTGTACAGGGCCCTAGAGCATTAATATTATTACTGCTGTTATTGTGGCTAGTGAGCAATGATTAGAGGGCAGAACCCCATGGGATTGGTGGTAAAGACACAAAAAACAGTGTCCATACACTGAAAAGGGAGGTGCTACTACTGTACTGAATGACAGTTTGATGCCATTGGTTTAGAGATTAAACTTTATTCCACTTTGGTTATTAAATTTTTGGTTATTGTTAAGTCCAGGGTGAGTTGTTCTAGTAGTGAAACATTTAATCATGTAATATAAATAGAGGACTTTTTTGTCTTCACGCTCTGTCAGTCTCACTAATGCAATAAACCTCACAGGTCATCTGCCACAGCTCCTGGAGAAGAACTGTCATTTGCATTTTTGCATCTGAGTTGCTGCCCTGCCCGCCCCCCCCATCTCCTCAAAGAAATTGCAACCCAAGCTTTTAAATATATTTGATTTTAAAATCTTTAATTTGGGGATACTCACTCTGTACTGGTAAATGACCCATTGTCAGACTGACCCTTTTCAGATGAGAGCTCCTGGGAGCCAGAAATTCTGAGCAGTTCTGAAAAATCAGAATCTGGATACGTAGAAATAGAGGTACCTGCAACCAGTGAAAGATCAGGAAATCCTGATCCTCAGAACAATTCACCTAAGGTCACAGGATGTATTACTACCAGTTTCCTACTCAACCTCCATGCCCTAAAACTGCATCCCGAATTGCGCTTGGCTCACGATGTCTGTGCCCCTCGGACCCTGGTTTGCTGGACTTCACTTAACAATGTCATGTCTGTGTATCTTCCCCAGAACTGAATACTGCTCACAAACTGGAAAAGGCACAATTAGAAGAGAATTTTGAAAAACTGCGGCTGTCACTCCAGGTTAGCAGTTTCATTATTTCCCACCCCTGTAATGATGTTGCAGAGCAGCTGGTGGGGCAGCCCCAGCCCCGTTGCCAGCTGCCAGCACACCAGGCTGTCGCTTCTTACCAGCTGTAGTACCTCTTGTCCTCCACCTGTCCAAACTGGGATCTAGCAGCAAAGGTGCCCCCTCAGGTTCTTTCCTCCCCCTTGGCTGGTTCAGCAAAATACTAACTATCTGAAAGAGAAGAGCAGGCAAACCTAAAGGGCAGAAAAGGCAGCTGGATAAAGCAAAGAAAGGTAAGGTCCTTTTGACCCTGCTGACTGCTGGCCCAGCACAAGGAGCAAAGCTGAGCTCTGCCCTGCGTGGTGGGGAGAGCTCTGGCATCTGCGTTGGGTGTGAGCATCACCTTGTCTACATGGTACCCTCCAGCAGGCACCCCTGGGGCTCTGAAATGCTGACCTTTCTTTCCCTGCCTGGCCCTGTGCCTGTGCTTTAAACTCTTCCCTGCTGCCTGAATGTGGGGGAGCCAGTCCTGCAGTCCCATTGCCCGGAGGGCAATGCGGTCCCTGATGAGGGATGCCCCAGGGCTGGCCCTGCTGTGCAGCCAGGCTATGGCCGGCCAGGGTCAGCCCTGCACATCACATCTCCCACATCCCACTGTTTAGCACCAAGCTCAAGATCATCTTGGCTTTTTCAGTCCTTCTAATAAATCCATGTTGTTCTCACTCTCTAGATGAAGAAATCCCAAGGAAGGGAGGGTGGAAGCGTGCCCCTGTGATTCATGCTAATTTTGGAAACCTTGTGTGAACAAGTAAAGATGCCACAGCAAATAATGAAAGCTCTGTTTGATTTTGTAGACAGAGATTAGTTACAATTTTTAAAACCCCTGACTAGCACATACTGTTGCACACAGCAACTGTCACTGCCTTCCTCATGCGCCTGTGACAGTTCGAGGCATGTCAGCAGTTTTGCAATAAGCACTGATGTAATGTTACAGCCAAGAAATTATATATATGAAGGATAAGAATACCAGTTTCACATCAACTGTGGGTTTTACAGATGTTTTATATAGAGAGGTAACAGGAATACTTTTGATGGTAACAGAAATATGATTGCTTAAAATAACATGTTGTTCCTGTGTATAGCTCTGAAACTACGATCATTCACAGTCCACACCACTAACTCATCATTGCTTGTTATCATGTTAGAAGCCTAGGAAGGTGAAGGAAGCAAGGATGGGGTATCTACCACCTCATTCAGGCTCTAAGGAGCACAGAAATGATCTCTTTCATGCCTGTGATATAAATGCCAGCTCTTTTAAGGAAAGACATGCTTGTTCTCATCCAGCCCAAGGTGATGGGGTGATTTAACATCAAAGATGTTTCGTGAAGTAGTGCCAGCCAGCTGCAGGCATTGCAGGGATTTCAGGATTCCCTGAGGCACTAGGTTATCAAAAACCCCAGTGTGTGTTCAAAAACCACCACCTTGCGGGGGTTTCTAAGCCTTGTTCAGCTCCCCCGGTGGTTCCACAGTGCAGATTGACTTGTACGAATGTAAGAGGGGTGATAACACGGTTGGTGTGTTCATTGGTGCGTCTCCCCTCCAGGACCAGATAGACACCCTCACCTTCCAGAACCAATCCCTTAAGGCCAAAGCAGACCGATTTGAAGAGGCTCTGAAGAAAAACACTGAGGAACAACTGAAGGTAGATGACGACTATAACTATATGGTCATCAAGATATGTGTTTCTAAGTATGACTCAGATCATGCAATTCAGTGGATAGCAATGGGATCCTTACCCGAGGGCATGTGCCAGCCGAGACCCCAACTCTTGAGCTCTGAGGAGGAGTCAGAAATCTTAGCCTAGGTCCATCATTTGCTGAGTTTACTTCTTTATTCTTTCACCCAGCATTTGTAGCTCTGTTTCCAAAACATTTCATTAACTCCATCTACTATGTCCTTATGGCTGTCTATTCTTCTTTCCCTTCTTCCTCTCTTTCTCTTTACTTTTTGTCTTTTCACATTTAGGTTTCTTTTTTTGTGCCTTCTGAACCAACTTCTTTGATATCCTCTCTATTCTCTCATTTTTTCCTGGACTTGCAGGGGACAGCCCTGTCATATGAAGTATTTATTCAACTGCTGTCTATTGGGGCCATGCTGTTTATTTACAGTGTGTAAGTAAACACACGCTGCAATTATTTATCTGAAATTAAATAACCCTGACATGACCCTCCAAAAAGAGTTTTCTTTTAACTTGGGGCATTTCACTGTGTTCACAGCACAACCCCATGGGCAGCTGTATCAACATGACAGAGAGGACAGAATGAAAATAGTGGGGTGAGCAAGGGGCTCAGTGAGTTTCTAGATGAGAGACCTCATTAGGAAAGGAGCACAAATGTTTGAAACAGACTTGGCCATGGGAAATGGGTAGCACCAGTCCCTTTCCACCTCCACTGCAGTATTTAATTTACATGAAAGGACAAATTCTGCTGTATCACAGTGATGTTAATGCCAAGTACCACCAGGCAATTCACTGGAGTGAGTTACACTGGGCAAAATCCAGAACAGCTTAAGTCAGCGACAGTGTTTCATCAGTATAATTCAGAGTACATCTTTTGCCCATGAGTTGAACCCTAGTATCCCCTACATCTGAAATTCTCAAGCAGAAGAGCAACTTTTTCCCACCAGATCTAATCTTTCTTAGCAGGCACTGTGATGCAGTGATGCAGGCAAGGCAGAAGACTCTATTTTTCACATCCAGCCCCCTTGTCCAGTTTCCTCAGTTTCATGTTTGTACTTTTCCCAAGCCAAAATCCCTGCATAATCATAAAATACCTCATACAGTTCCGAGTAGGAATGAGGTTGCTGAACAACCTGGCATCCCATCCTTCTAGCCATGAGGCTGGTCAAAAGAAAGGTACCATTGGCTATCCAGCCAAAGGGATGGTCTAGGAGAGAATATCAGCGTTCAGATGGGCTGGCGAGGCCCAAGTCCAGGTGATTTTCACATCACTGAGACTCGTACACCACCGGGTACATTGGGGAAACTGGCTGACAAATATCCAAATCACTGGTATATTTCCTAGATTGTACGAGCTCCATATCTGCACTTAGAAAAAGATCTGAAGAGCTTAAAACATGTTCTGGAAATGAAGAACCATCAGATTCACCAACAGGAGAAGATGATTATGGAGCTAGAAAAACAGGTGAGTTGTTATTTTTCTTCCAGAGGAGACATCACAGAGGTAGAAAAGTAAAGGTTTGGCTACAGCAGATGAACTTAAAAGGGGTGAGAAAATACACGAGGCTGGGGCAAGGCACGGTCAAAGAGGTTCATAAATGGCTATGTATTGTGTTGTCCCACTGTCAACCTACATAGCTGCTTCTGTTATACCATGTCTCAGGTTTTCACTCAGAAATTGGGATCTTTTCCCATCCCTTCACCCACCAATGATACCCTTGCTTTCTCTCACACACCCATTGATCTGTATTGCTTTTTCATGCAATACCTGCTCAGCCTGTTACGTTAGACAGCGAGGCAAGTGGTGTAGGAAGAATGGAAGAAGGGGAACTTTGTGGTACTCCAGGGCTTCATTTTGTACACCAGCCTGCACCATACGGCCCTACAGAAGTCAGGTAATCATTTAGGGCTAGAGAGGGCAAGTAGAGGAAGAACAAGCTGTGTGTGTCTTGCTGCTGCTTGTGCAGGCATTTAAGGAGCTCCCAGCTGCAAGTATGAATTAGCAATATTCAGCAAGCAGTCCCTAGCAAGGCTTACACTAGGAAAGGTCTCTCCAACCCTAAAGTAATGCTTTTCTGCAGCTTATGCTGTTTTCTCATCCTTTGCCTATGAGGGTCCCTAACAAAGAACTCCTTAGTTCACCACCAATTACATTTTTTATTGGAAAGGGGATTAATTTTGTAAGGCATAACCTACAGTGACAGTAAATGTCTAGTGTGGTGACAGGATGAGGCACTACCTCAGCTGGGGAGCCAGGACAGCTGGTTCAGTACAGCATTCAGCAAGATTTGTTTCCATTTATGGGGAAATTTGAGAACTCAGATGATTATTTTGCTGAACAGGTGCTTGAGTAAGTGGATGTAGAGAAAAGTGCCTCTTTAGAGCCAGCACACTGCTCCTGGAGCTAAGCCAGCATCTGAAAACATGCACAGTAGTGTTATACTGGAAAAAAAAAAAAAAAACAGCCTACATGGTTCCTGGTCATTTAACTGCTTTTGCTAATTAACCACATACAAGCACACAGTCCTGCTCCTGCCCTTTATCACAGTAAACACTGGGTCTACTGTGGTCCAAAGGCACAAGTGCTTTCTGTTTAAAGACCTACTTTTGTAAGTGCCAGAACATCTACAGGGCATCTCCAAATACTCTGAAAGATGGGGTGCCTCATAAGGGAGCAGGAGGGCATTTCAAATACAGTGTCAGGCTTGGCTCCTTGTCTGCTGAAAGGGAGCCTGGAAGTGAAGGTAGCAGGAGAGGAGCGGTATAGGGTGAGGGTTGCACTATGCACAGGTCGTCTCCCATGCTTCATGTTGGCATAGCTACTACTTACTAAAACTATTGAGGAAGCAGAGAAGGTGCCCGTGATAGTGGTTCCTCTCTCAGAGCATTTCAAAATGAGGCCAGAATCCTCGTTCTGCTATAACAAAATATACCGGGATAGGCCAGAATATCTGAGAATCAGGAATATCCTTTACGGTTACCTGCATAGACTGGAAACCACTGCATAAAAATGATGCCTCTGCTATAAAGTGTGAGTTATTGCTAACTCCGGTGCACAATATTTTGGTTCTTTATAAAAGGTTGGGAAATTCAATAACCGAGCTCACACAGAGATAAGGTTACCCTGTGATATCTTGCTTTCTTCCAAAAGTGTTGAATTCAGCAAAATTCAAACTGCTGGGAAACGAAGAACTAAGGTGATAAAGTATGTCAAATTCAAAACTTGGCAAAAAGAGGGCATCTGAGGCTGTTCTACATGCCTATAAACATCTCACTGATGTTTTAATGCACTACTATTGACATCCTCGAACTCTGTCCTTGAACTGTCCTGAGTAAAAGCTACCTACGCTTGGGATAGGATTCATTTCACTAATTGTAGGTTAAAGTTAAATGTCTAGTTTAAGCCTGTCTTAAGCTGACACTGTCAGCAGTGGAGAGAAGTGTGTCCAAAGGGCAGCCCACCTCATGTGAATGCAGCAGCAGTCTGAGGCTGCTGATGGGCATTATCTGCCCTGCTGGGTAACTCCTTCCTCCCCATAACCAGGGAATCATAATCCTAGAGGTTGGACACCAGACATTTATGTCCAATGAGGTTAGCTGAGCTGGATGATGCACATCGTACCACCTTGATTCCTCTTTCATCGGTAGACTGACCACTCACGCCACAGTGCCCTTTCCATGCTGGGTATCCCCATGCTCCCCAAGTGCCAACAGCTCCCTGTCCAAGAACAACGGCTAGTAACACTGGCTCCCAAGGGATGAAACTTGGCGGGGCACCACTGAGGAAGACGTTTTATTTGCACTGGACAAGACTAAGACCGTTTCAGTTAGAAATAAGGGCCAGTTCAGCTCTGCCTCTGCTCAGTGCTCTGCTGATGACCCCACTTACTTCACCAGTATGATGTGGTATGAGTCAGACCTCTATGCCTCTATGTCTCAGCTGCAGTCAAGATGCCCACCTCCATCTATCCGCAGCTTTTAGAAGTTGCTCCAAGGGACAAATAAACATAAAGAACAAATCCTCTTGGATCAGGTGTTGGGCTTTCTTCAGACTTAACAAACCTTCTTTCATTGCAGGCTGAAAAAAATTTAAAACTGGAAGAAAAAATCACCATGCTGCAACAGCAGAATGAGGAACTCAGAGCCAGGATTGAACAAAATACTGTCATAACAAGGTTTGTGCTGATACTTGCCATCTGTCTGAGCTTGAAAGGAGACTGCAGATCTTAACTGCCCAAGGCTGACACTTATTTCAGAAGAGGAAAAACTTATTTCCTCCTGAAAGTGTATTGGTGTCCTGATCTGCTTGTTTTATTAAAAAAAACTTTTTATATCAGGATTTGCTTACTTTAGCATAAGGAAGGCCACATAGCTGGCTGGCTGGCTGTTTCCATGATTTTGACGTGCTGCTGAGAGCAAAGTTGCCAGTGGCTTCTGATCGCAGTGTCAGTGCCCTGAGACCCGTTTGTCAGTGGGTAATGAGGATGGGAAATGGGGCAACTTCAGGAGAGGCATCCTAACAATGGCACTGTCACCCAGGCGGGGTTATCCTTTGGTGAGGTTTTTTCACCTGCACTGTCTGTTTGCACCCTTGTCACGACCTAAGGGTGACAAGGCTCCTTGTGTTAGGTGGTATAGAAACAGAGAAGGGTAGGGCATTCCCTGTCCCAGGGAGTTTATAGTCTGCTGTAAGGCAAGAGACTGCAGCTGGAGCCAGGCAGAAGGGGTTCCAGGGGGAGATGCTAGAGCTGAACCTGTCCCAACACACCAGCTGCCTAGCTGTCATTGTTGCCAGAAATGATGCCATTGGCCTAAAATGCAATTTAATTTTTATCTGACTTTTTAAAGCTTCAGCATCTCATCTCTGATTTTAGTTTGTGTCTTTCTAGTGTCTCCTTTATTAATGATTCAGCCTGTAATGATGTCTCCTGCATGTAGATATTTTAAAAAGGTAGCATTGTACTAATATTCAGATTGGGGTGAGGATTATGTTTCCTCTTACCTGATTGTAAATACCTGTAACACACATGTCACTGTCTGAGGTAGGTGTCTACAGCCTTTCTGTGCTTGGGAAGGAAAAAGAGGAATTTTTAAGGTCTGGTTCACCAGACTAGTTTGAGATGCCTGCTTTTGGGCTGGCTGAATTGTGGTCTGGAAGGGGCAGTCTCTCTCCATGCCTGTGAGAGCAGCCAGGGTGCCTGGTTCAGTGCTTGGCATCTCTGCATTGCAGCTACCTGCCTCTGGCTGGGCAAACAGTACTCTCCACTCCCGGACGGCATCCGGCTGCAGCGCTTTGCTTCTTGCCTGTAACTATGTAGTTACTGGTTTTGAAGAACATCTTTTGGGAGAAATTCTGCATTTGAGGTCAGCCTGGAAAGTCAGCTTAGAGGACAGTCATTTTTAAGAGTAACAGTTTAGGGACAGCTATGGGGATAGCTACAGGGACAGTGTCAGCCAGGGCTTTAAAGTCGGAGTTATTAAAACATACATTATCCTGGCAGCAGTAGCCACCCCGACTGCTCGTTTCTGTTGTACTGGCACCACCTGGGAAGTGCAGCGTGAACAAGTTCGGGGAGCTGCCCTTGCTGGGGAACAGCGTGGATTAGAGCTATTTCTGCTGATTTGCAGTTTGGGTGCCTGTGTGGCTGTGGCAGCCCAGTAGCAGCGAGAGGACGGAGGGGAGCAGGAGGGATGGGAGCCAGAGCACAGCCAGCCTTTGCAGCACGGCCAGGAGCGGGGGTCCCGGAGGCACTGGGGGGCTGAGGCGTGCACCACAGAGATATTTCCAATCATAGCCCTGAGCAGGTACAAAGGAAGGAAGAAGAGCCGTGCAGGTAGATCATGCACCAGCTTTGGACACAGGAGCTCCACAGAGCCTCTGCTGGGACTTCCCCAGGCACTTGAATAAATCATCTGTTTTCCCAGTATCTTGGATTCTCCCACCAAATCAATGAGCATTTTTTTTGTCTTTTGGACTGGGAGCGTTTGAGGACTGGTAGTTTCCAGCACCCTAGCGATGAAGATGACCAGGAGGGTGTCTGGTTTCTGTTGGCATAGCCCAGGCACCTTGCTGACCTGTGGGCCTTTTGGGAGAGGCTTTAATGTGAGTCAAGGGCACAACTCAAGCACCTTCCCCTGCATCCCTATCACACTGGTGTGCCCCTGCACACTGCTGTGGTTTTATGGCTGTGATTTGTTACAGCTGCTGAAATTGTTGGGAGGCTGGCAGAGGAACATGTCTGATCATAGGTCTGCAGTGCTGGGGATAAAGGTTTCCCTAGCTCGGTTAGGTCTAAAACTGGAACATGTATCTCAAGATACAAACTTACTACATAGTGAGAACACATTTGCTTTTACATTGCCTCTCTTCCTTCTTCTGCCCGAATGATGAAGAGGGGCTGAATGGGCATCTGTATCTTTTATAAGCAGTGATGCTGCATCTGTCCATCTCCATCCCCATGGTGCAGCAGAGGCAGACACATTTTGGCTGAGCTGAAGGCAGAGGCTTTGCTGAAGGATGTTGGCACTGCTGGCTGCGCAAGCTGCCTCCGTCTCGCAGTGGTGTAAAGCTGGGTCTGCCTGTGTCCGGTCACGTCACGTCAGGTGTCACAGCATAAATTCCCAGCGCAATGTGCACGAGGCTAAAATAAGCAATGCAACAAGCGGCAGCTCCTTTCCCATCCATGTACTAAAGCAGGTCTCTCTGGAGGACATGTCCGCGTGCTCCATGGCATGTTCATGGGCACTTGGCTGCAAGGCTCTTTTCTGCTCAAGCATGTCTCTACTTATCTGCAGGTCATGTGTATGACTTGCAGTCTGCCTCTGCCAGCAAATTGCAGTGTGCATTAGGGCCAGAAAAGCTATTGTGTGAGAGACTCCAGAGGACACGGCGATACTGTGCATCGTACTGTACCTCTAACAAGCAGCATTCAACGTAAAGGAGGCCGATACATGCTGAGGGGCTGTGGCCTGTGCTTGCCTCCTTTTCCTGCAGTGCCTTTAGCAGAGGAGGAAGCTGAGCCTTTCACCACACTCTGAGGTCCGTGCTGGTGTGACTAGCCTGTTCCCAAAACCAAGATGAGCTTTACCAGATTAGAGAGCCAGTCACACACTTAGAGCCACACAAATGCAGGGAAGGCATGGGCTTCTTTTTTTTCTTAGCAAATGCTGGCTGGACAAGGATGTAATGGGGCTTTGTGTATAACTTTTATGGCCTGTCTTGTTAGACACTGAAAAAGAAAAAGTAATCCCATGTGTAGCAAGAGGTTTTCTATGAAGTTATTTCTCCAGGGTGAGATCCCATGTGGACTTTCTCATGCCTGTTAGACCATAAGCTCATGCCACAGCCGGGTCCCCAATGAGACTGTGAACAGGATTTTCCTCCTCTACCAGGCAAGCAGCTTTCTGAAAACTTCTGCCAACTTGTGTCTTTTAATCCTTCGCCTCTGCTAGCCACTGCTTCATGGTTCAAAACTTTCAGGGGAGCGGGAGAAGAACAGACATATTCTTGATCACCTGAGCTCTATTTCTGTAGGAACCAAGGCTAAAAAAGCAGAAATTCTTTAAAAATGTTTTTTAAACAAAATTGGAAATGCCAACCCCACCCTCTCAGAGACTTTTGATGACACAAAGAATGTGAACCAGCAGTCCATGACATCTGCTATGGGCTTCAGGCTATACCCAGAAAAGGAGTTGTGCGTGTGTGCATCCAAAATCCACACCCAGCTGCTGCTGAACCCTGGAAATACCTAGCGGGGAGGTTAGGTACCTCCCTGTTTATTTCTCAAAAATCCTAAATTGCTGGTAAATCAGGTTAGGTACATGCCCAGAGCTGCCCCAGGCTGATCACAGCAGGACCTGGCTCCTGCCCAAGCATAATGGGGCTGCGGAAGCCAGGTGTCCCTGCATGCATCTTCCGGGACAGTGGTGTTCCTAGAACATGCCCAAAGCACATCTTGATCAGGTCCCACAGTCTGCCTGCACTGCCCATTTCTTCTAAAATCAGTGACCTGGTTAGATGAGAGCAGACTCACTGAGGCTGTGGTCCCCATAGGAGATTTCCATGCCCCATCTCCCAAAATGCCATCAGGTTATAGGGCATTCTGGGGAAAACACCTCCCTGGTCCTTTCTGATGAAGTTTCTTTGGTGTTGGAGTCAGGAATAGAGGGTTTGTTAGGACGAAGGAGGCAGGAGCTGGAGAAGGACCCATAGCCTCATGACAGAGGAGAGGGAAGGCTTCAAAGCTGAGCTACATCCTGCATCAAGACATCAGCTAAAATGGGGAGCATGGAGAGCACAGACTCCTTTCCCTTTGCGTGAAGTAGCAGCTGGTTTGAAGAGTCAGGGATGCAACTGCTCTCTCTTACCTCTTCACTCTTGCTCTGCCACTCCACAAATGCTCTCTCACTCATGGCACAGCTTTGGTGGCGGGGTTGAGAAACGAGGGTAAGAGTTACAGCTGTCCACCAAGCTGGGACTTTGGATTTTTGTCCTCAATCAGACAGAAGGCAGCCTAAAACCCAGAACTATCCCCCTCTAGGGACTGCTCCAGCTGCTGTGCTGCTCTGGAAAAAATGGGGCAGCATTGCAAGCACCTCTGGGTTGTGAAATACCACAGGGCAAAGGTGGGTGGAGACAGATGTTGAAGCTGGGGAGAAAGCAGGATTTAAGGAGCCCACCTGCACTTTGTGCTGCTTATTGGTTATCTGGAGGGCTGCCATTGCTGGGGCAGGCTATGTCGGGTTGATCTCTGAAGCCCCTTGTCTTCCTGCTGCAGGAATAGAAGCCCTGGCCAAAGGGCATGTGCAGGGAGCACAAGTGCCTGCTGACCCAGGGCTCTGGGCTCCATCTTGGGCTGGGCTTGGCTCCATGGAGGTTTATGGGCACATTCCTGGGTAGAAACCACTGTGCCAATGAACAGGTTGTGCAAAGAGAGGCCACAATACCATGCTGAGCACCTGCTTCCTGCATGTGCTGAATGGGGGAGATAACGTCCTGATCAGCTTCATTGCGTGGTAGCTCTCAGGGGGCCAAAATCAACTCAGCCACAAGCAAATATTGAGGAGAAGAGGATGTCCGAAACCACTGTGCCTACCTACATCCCCAAGCTAAGTATCTGGGGCTAGCTTTGAAGTCCTCTTCAGAAGCCAGTGGCCAAGGCTGGGTGCGAGCGTGGGACTGGCTGGTGTACTCTGCTGTCCTGGTTGCCCACCGCGGGGACTGACAGGGGGCTCTTCAGCTCCTGCCCTGCTCACCAACCCATGTCCTCCCAGGGAAGGCCAGCACAGGGGGAGAGTGAGCACGCAACTGCACTTTATCTTAGCCTAAATTTCGTTACCCTCTCTATCCCCCCATCCATGAGTGGAGAATCCTGTTCTTGCAGCGCACTGCAGCCTTGCGTTTTTCCTACTTTCAAATATACAAATAAAGAAACAAATATGCTCAATTTTTCTTTTAGGAATTGTCAATTTTTACTGTGTTTTCTATATGGGAAAATGGCCATTTTTAAAGTGTCTGGAAGACGTGGTCAGTGCACAAAGCCCTTGGCACCTTTGCATGCCATGCATGATGCTGACAGTTGCATGAGGCCACGGAGGAAGGCTGGGGCGCATCCCATCTAAGCTTTGGCAGCTGAGCTGCCTCAGAAAGGTGTAGACACAGGCACATCCAGAGGAAGAGTCGGACATTGGGGGGCAGCTGGGACTTGTGGAGATGCCTTTCTAGCCTGGCAGTGAAAACGCCTGGGGACAGCTGTGCCCCAGCTTGGGCAGCTCAGTTGCAGCCCTCAGGGCAGGTGGATGGGATGGGATGGGATGGGATGGGATGGGATGGGATGGAGAGAGGTACTTGGGGTGCTGCCTGGCCCTGCCTCTTGTGCAGCACTGGCTGCATTAATGCTACTGTCTTCACACTGGTGTGCCTTACATGTCCTGCTTCCCTCTCCAGGCAATTGTCAGAGGAGAACGCTAATCTTCAAGAATACGTTGAGAAAGAAGTGGAGGAGAAGAAGAAGCTGAGTAGGACTAATGAAGAGCTCCTCTGGAAGCTGCAAGAGGGAGATGCCGTGAGCCCCGTGAAACTCCCACCTACATCGTCCACTTCTTTCTATCGCTGCTCATCAGGGAACTCCTCTCCAGCAAAAGTCAGAACCTTGCGGCGATGATTCGGCACTGGCGCACCGAAGGTCCCTGCCTTTTATGCATTGCCAATCTGCTAAATGTCACCATCCAAGGAAGTATTACCATCAACAGACGCCCAGCGTTCGTGGCTGCAAGCATGCTCGGTAGCTGTATAGCTTTACACTAGGCAGGGTACTCTTATAGTCCCCATGTAGGAGCTCTTGGTTCTGACATGTTGATTAGGGTAGCAAAAAAGATAGCAAAAAGCTAGGACAGCAGAAAATTAGGATAGCAAAATGTTTAGTTTGATGTGTTAACATTTTAACTATGGTTAGAGCCGAAAGTTGGAAATACTATATTAATGGTTCATCAGAATGAACTTTTGCTGCAGTATTTCAGGTTAGTTACAAATACAGTTCAAGTTGTGAATATTTCTGTATATGTGTCTGTGTTTATATACATGTATGTATTGCACCTTTATACCTATATATAGACGCAAACACATATATATGTAGTTGAAGATGTTCTGAATTGCATTTTTTATATTATTGGATACTACTAAGTGCTGATATATTTTCATTACAGTCAGCAGTTTTCTAACTCGTGCCTAAGACTTGTATCTAAATGAAATGCATTTCTGTTTAGCCTCCCAGGAATATTTATACCCAACCTAGAAGAAAGTTACACAGAAGTAGAAGCGCCTTCCAAGTGACCACCAAGTGGTACTCTATGTAACATGAACACCAGCGACTTTGAAATTCTGAGACAGTACTGCCTTTGAAACCATCACCTTTGCATTGAACACCAGATAAGATACGCATACCATTCACTGCTTTTTAACTCTTAGCATCGATATTTTAAGTGGAGATAGGCTAGAGATGAGAAACCTGAGGGTTTTAGCAAATTTGATAGAGGTTACTGGTTAACGTGTTTCAGTTTTAGTGTCTTTAAGTCCTAGTTAGATCTTACCTTGTTTTAATTTGTCCTGGTTTGGATACAATCAAAATCTCTGGTTTTAGGTTCCTGTCCATTTTGATTTATTTCAAGTCCCATAAGCAAGAAGGAGAAAGTAAGTTGTTCATCCTTGACCTTTGTTGGCCAAGAGGTTTCCAGCATTAGGATGAGACACTGGGAGCCTGCTAGGGCTCTAGCTTCCTCCCATTTGAAACACCAAATAGAGCAGAGCAGACTACATGGGCGCAAATGAGGTCAGAATTTCTTTCCTTCCACTTATATATATTATTTCACATTGCGAAAGCTTACCCAAAGTTACAGAGCACTTTTGAGATTCATGGCAAAGAGTGGCTGAACTACCTTTAACTTGTCTGCCTAGAAGCAAAAAAATTCACCCAGGCTTGGGGTGACCTCCACCTGAGGCGGTGGCGAGGCCAAGGAGCAGCTGGGGTGGGATAGGCTGCAGGGCCCTCATGGGCACTGCTGCCAATTAAAAAAAAAAATCCCTGAGCATAATTAAAAAGAAAAAAAAAAAAAGAGATGTGTGGGATGCTTTTCTATCCAGCTTGGGGCAAAAAGTCTGCGTGCATTCCTGCTCTGAGCACCGGGGTCAAAGTAAGTAGGAGACGGTACGTGCAGCAAATCCCTGGGGTATGGGAGCGCTGTGGGGAGGGGGAGCTGCCCTACCCTGGTCTGCGGTGGCACAGGCACACCCTGCGTGAGCAGAGCAGGGATTGCACAGCCCAGCTGCACTGCTCGGGTGGGAGCTGTGCTTCAGCTTTCCTGGGAAGTACTCAGGATTCACAGACTGCAGCTTAGATACGGCTTCAATCACCATCAAAGCACCTGTGGCCTGTTCCACAGCGTTTAAAAAAAAAAAAAAGGTGATTTGTGATTTTTTTTCTCCTTTTTTAGAGAAATTTATTTTTGTAGCAGCTTTTGCATGATACTGTGATACTGAGTAAATTGAGCATCTTGTTAGAATAGATCATGCCACACCAACTACTACTGTTGAAATGCTTTACTAGATTTTAGTGTGTCCAGCAAGTACAACCTGAAAGTAGGATAGATACCTAACACATACATGCACACAAAGCCTGTCCTTGGCAGTTACAATTTTAATCACTTTCATACTTGCTAAATGCACAGATATCTGCAGTACCTATTGCGTTGTCATGTTTCAGTCTGCCCATACAATTCTGTTACAATGAGATCACAGGATCCTAGAATGGTTTGGGTTTGAAGGCACCTTCAAAGATCATCTCGTCCAACCCCCCAGGTTGCTCAAAGCCCCATCCAACCTGACCTTGAACACTTCCAGGGATGAGGCAGCCACGATTTCTCTGGGCAGCCTGTTCCAGTGTCTCACCACCCTCATCATAAAGAATTTCTTATGTGCAATTTAATTCTACCCTCTTTCAGTTTAAAACCATTTCCGCTTGTCCTGTCACTACAGGCTCTGGTAAAAAGTCTCTCTCTGTCTTTCTTATAAGCTCCTTAAGCAGTGAAAGGCCACAAAAAGATGTCCCTGGAGCCTTCTCTTCTCCAGGCTACCCCAACTCTCTTAGCCTTTCTCCATAAGAGAGGTGCTCCAGCCCCCTGACCATTTTCATGGCCCTCTGAACATGCTCCAACAGGTCCATGTCTTTCTTGTGCTGGGGACCCCAGAGCTGGATGCAGTACTGCAGGTGGGGTCTCACCAGAGCAGAGTAGAGCTGCAGAATCACCTCCCTCGACCTGGTAGCCACACTTCTTTTGATGCAGCCCAGGATACAGTTGGCTTTCTGGGCTGCAAGTGCACATTGCTGGCTTACGTCCAATTTTTCACCCACCAGTATCCCCAAGTCCTTCTCCGCAGGGCTGCTCTCAATCCCTTCATCCCCCAGCCTGTATTGATACCAGGGGTTGTCCTGACCCAGGTGTAGGACCTTGCACTTGGCCTTGTTGAACCTCATGAGGTTCACATGGGCCCACTCCTCAAGCTTGTCCAGATCCCTCTGGATGGCATCCTGTCCCTCAGGCGTGTCAGCTGCACCACTCAGCTTGGTGTCATCCGCAAACTTGCTGAGGGTGAACTCGATCTCACTTTCTATGTCATTGATGAAAATATTAAACAGTACTGGTCCCAGTATGGACCCTTGAGGGACATCACTTGTTACTGATCTCCGTTTGGACATTGAGCTGTTGACTGCAACTCTTTGGATACAGCCATCCAGCCAATTCCATATCCAACGCCCATCCATCAAACCCATATCTCTCCAATTTAGCAACAAGGATGTTGTGTGGGATACAGAAGTCCAGGTAGATGACATCAGTTGCTCATCCCTCATCCACCAACGCAGCCACACCATTGCAGAAGGCCACCAGATTAGTCAGGCTGACTTATCGGTAGTTTTTAGGGTACTCCTTTTTACCCTTTTTAAAAATGGGTGAGATGATACAACCAGAGTTGTTACCATGATGCTAATCTAAACTTTTCCGTGCTAAACACACTACAACACATTATTGGCCTAGGATGGGCTGGCTGAACCCGTCCTTTTTTAATTTATTCATTCTTTCCCCCTCTTTCTGGTGCTTTCCTTATCACTTTGTTTGTTTGAATTCATATGCAAGAGATGCTTCCAGCAGTGAATTGGGAGTGAGGCTTTTGCGGTGGGAAAACTGGGACCAATCCCAGCTCCGCCATCATTTGGTATCATTGCCGATCCCTTTCCCATCTAATTTTTGCCTCCCAATCCTGCCTCTCACTGGATTCTTCCTTGGCACGGCCTCTGGGGCCTGCCCAATCGCTAGCAAAGCTGCAGGAAGTTTTGCCTGACCAGAAGGGACCCAGAAACCCATCTCTGCGGGGGTGTGAACAGTGGTTCCTTCTGGTGCAAGCCCCGAAACACGGACTTTTTTCCCCCAAAAAAGGTCATTCCTTTTTCCTGCTCTTCCTCTGTCCTGTTCCTCCTTGCTTCTGCGTGCCGGAATAGGTGCAAAAGGGGATGGAGATCCCTGAGCATATGGCCAAACCGGTGACCCCTGCACTCGCCAGGGAGCTGCGACCGTGCAAGGAGAGTTTGGCATTCCCAGTGGTGTAGGGGCCACATCTCTAGACCTTGCTCCCTGGCCATCCCTGCTCAAAGACAAGCACGGGGAACCTTTGGCTTTTGGGGTGCTGGAGACTTTGTGAAGGCCATGGCCACCGCAGGGGCTTTCCTGTTTTGCAGGGTAGGGTGGCCTTTGGCAGGAAAGGGAATGCAGCCAGCGCTGAGCTGGGTTTTATTGCCTTTATTTCTTTAAAAAGGAGACATTTGATTTGGTTAATCTTTACTCAGTGCAGAAGGTTACAGCGGCAATAAAACCAGCCTACAGTTGCTTTGAAGGGCTCCAGCGACTGGCACCGGGAGTGGGTAACAGCCATGGGATGGCAGGAGAGCGGACAGCGAGCTGGGGACATGGGGAGCTGGGAAAGCTGCGGGAAAGCTCTGGTTTCCTGCAGGAAAGCACCATTAGGTCCTGTTGGGATGGCACCTCCTGCGGCTGTTGGCACAGAGGGGTTATCTCGGCAGATGCACAGCAGCAAAGACTTGCGGTGGTGGTGGGCGGGTGGGGGGGGAGAAAAGGAAAAACTATCAAGTGCAAAATCAGGTATTTTACGTCTCTGCACTGATGGTGGTTGTGTCCCATGGACACACTGAGGAGCCCCTGTACAGTTTCCCATGCAGCAGGAGTTCCGTGGTCCTGTTTACTATGTGGCTAATGATTACAGGAAGAGTTTGTATTATTTCAGTTCTGATGTACAAATAAGTGTAATATATTCCTGATAATAAATACATGCACCAGCGCACATATGGGCTGACGCATACGAACCAGCGTGTCCTGCAGTGTTTTCCGCACGTCTGTACACGCAGAAACTAGAATAAATGGAAAACAGAGCAAAACCCCATTGAAGGGTTACCCCGTTACAGTAAAGACCGAAGCTAGACAGCCATGTAGCCTCCTGGCAGCAGGGCTGGTTGGTTGGGTTACCTGACTGTGGTTCACATGCTATAAATTAGATCAAAAATCCCATGTCCCATGGATTCATTTTCTGAGGGTGCTTCCC